GAGAAATAAAGCATCCCTAAATTGTTGTCAGCCCTTTTTTCTCTCTTAAATCCGGCCTGTCTTGTACAGAAAATTTATTTCATATCAAAATCATCTACATAAACTGTTCATATTCTCCAGCTCCTCTACTGTTATTCTAGTGCATATTCAAAACCTGTTTTGCCTGTACTAGGACAGTAGCCCCCCACCTATGCTAGATGTAGATATGAGACCCCAACCCTTGCTCAAGAAGAATCTTACAACACCTGCCAATATTTGCTGCTACAGGAAGGCTGGGAAAAAACAGGCAGGAGGTCAACCCCTTGCCAAGGGACTGGAGCTCAGAGAGGGCTATAACCATTGCCAGTCAGAAACAGGGGCACTTGTCAGGGCAACAGTATCATGGCTGAGAATCCTTACAGCAGCCCCTCAGGAGGAAAACTGAGGAAATCCAGAGAACCTCAGGACCTTCCCATGATGGGCATGAGGAGGGTCCCATCTGCTCTGCTCTGCCCAGATGTTAGCATTAGCTCAGTCCCTAGGTGGTGTTTTTCCACACAGCAGTCTGATGCAATAGAAACTGGACACTGGAAATGTCCCCAGGAAAGGTAATGGGGGCCACTTTGGCCATCCTAGCTGTTACAATCTTGCCATCTCTAGCCTCACTGGACAAGCATTCTCCACACGTCATCATCCTCCAAGAACTGCCATGTAGTGCCCTATTCCCAGCAGTGTCCATGCTTACACCTGGAGTGCGTCGCAGGGGTCCTTTCCCAGGACCACCTAGCTCATGATGTGGCCCAGGGCCCCAGCTCACTTCCAGTCCCATTCTGCTCCTATGTCCCTCACCTGGCCAGTCCACAGATGTTCACATGGATCCAGTGGGGCCTCTTCCTCCTGCCTCTCCTGGGGCTGCTGATCCTCATCACCACCATCTGAGAACCCCAAAGCCCTCTCCTGCCCATCTCCTTTCCAAGTCCTAAATTGGGTCTGGGGAGTGTCCTAATGACCACTGCTCCATCTTCTACATGCAGCCTTAAGTCTGCACAAACTTCCTGCCTGGGAACACCATGGTCCTAGCTGGCTTTGTGGTGGCTGACAGAAGTACATTCTGCCCTACCTCTCTGGATCAAACCTCAGAAAGCAAGACCTCATAATCACTCAGGTAGGGTGATCAGTTCATCAAAGCTTGGTCATTATATGGAGGATCAGCTGAATAATAACTCATAATCATGGTGAGTTGTTACTCATGCACAGAATGATCATTATTTACCAACCATTAGGAGACTCACTAAAAGGCTGCATCATCTCCTGCCAGTTCTACCTAAAGTACAGTGTCTTAGAAACAGCAGGATGTATAATAAAGATAATTACATGTGATCATCAGGAGTGGGCCATTTACAGCTCAGTTGGTGTCTGTGAAGAGACAGGAAGGGAAAAACAACGTGCTGGGCTGACTGAGACTAAATAAAGAAGAGGATTGACAAAGTGCTACCCAAAAGAGGTGATGGGGATTCCAGAAGGAACCTGCAGCAAAGAAAATACTCAATCCCAACAGGGAAATTTGGCCTGCTATCTCTGATTCTGATGATATCACAGCTCTCAGGAGACTTATAGATGTGTCACAGGGGTACGAAGGGTGCAAGTAGCAAGAGGAAAGCATAACAGTCTGCATGTTGGGGGTGGTTCCTCCTTTGAAGATATCTGTCCCTGGGGCTGGGGATGTGGCTAAAGCGGTAGCGCGCTCGCCTGGCATGCACAGGGCACTGGGTTTGATCCTCAGCACCACATAAAAGTAAAATAAAGAAGTTGTGTCCACCAAAAAATAAAAAAAAAATTAAAAAAGATATATGTCCCTTCCTAGGGCTTTATAGGCAGATTCTGGCTTCTCATATCTAAGAGAGTATGGTTGCATGACTTAAAGTCCATAGATATGGGGATAGAATGGTCTGTGTTCTGTGCTCATAGCTTGAGAATTTATCCTGGGTCCTGTAGCACCTTATGCAGAACTGTTCCTTAATTTAGGGGCAAACTGAGGTAACATGACCCTTCTAAAGACAAGCGAACTGGCAATGGACTGTCCCCATTTGGCCAGGAAGAAAAGAAAAAAGAGGTAAATGGATACGTGTATCTCCCATAAACTGTTATGTAGTAGGTGTTCAACAAAAAGCAACTAATACAGTTTGTTATAAAATCCTCTTCCTTTCTGAGAGGCGCCTCAGAAAGGGTTAGATACAACTGTAAATTCTCCAGTTTTTTCAAGCACCTGCATACTGTGTAACAGGTACTTTCAAATACAGGGTTATGTTTTATTTTCATTACAAATCTCAGCAGGGAGGTTTCCCTTTCTTTACTCAATAGCACTTTTCTGCAGTACCCATGTAAAGAACTCCAAAATCTCAGTACAACTCTCCTATTTGATTCATGGTCAAAATCACAACTTGTGATTCTCTTGCTACTTTTATACTACCCAAACACCTAAGCAGATGCTTTAGGCACACTAAATGCCAGTATTTTCCTAAGGGCCAGATTCCTAACAAGAGCAGTTTGGTTAATTATTCTTTTTAAATTCAAGCTTACATGCCAAGGAAATATTTTCACCTTCTGGCAGACTCTGTAGATTTAAGAGCTCAGCCTCAGTAGGTGTTTGTTCCACAGTAGTTTCCATGATCTTTCCTCATTTATAGCTTATGAGGATGTCTTGTCTTTGACAACCAAGGTAAGATCATTCAGCTGTGTGTATTCAGTGGTCACTTTCAAATAAAACATCCCACTCAAATTATATAGGGTGGTTTTAAAAATCTTAACTTTACATGTCAAGAATGAGTAGATTATGTGCTAAATCATACTATCCTTGCCACCCACTTGTATACTCAGACAGGATGACCACATATCTGGAAGTCTCTGTCCCGAGCAAACATTTAAGTTGAAATGGCTGTTGTAATCAGAAAGGTCCCAGGATGAGCTATGGGGAAAACCAGGATAATTCTGCAAGGTATTGGTATGCTTTATGTTTCATGGGGAACAGTGACACGCTGAGTAACAGGCCAAGTTGCAGAGCTGGATAAAGGGTATAGAGTGGCCAGCCAGGAGAAGGGCATTTTTGTGTTGCAAAGTGCTAGAACTGGACAAATATGCCCACATCTTGGCTTACCTGGCTCTCAAGGAGTCAATCACTGGATATCCCCACATTATGTTTAATTCTGTCACCTTATTAGGACCACATTTACTACATCCCCCTCTCCTGCCCTGGATCCTTCTTTTTCTCATCAAAGATATTATGGAGTACTGAAAAATGAATTAATACACAGGTCCACCTCAGACTGAGGAAGTTAGAAGAGTGTGGGATATAGAAGATTTCAGAGCAACCTTATCATTCATTAGCCATATGATTTTAGGAATATTACTGAACAATATGAGGTTCAGGTTATTCATCTGTAAAATAGATTTGATATAGCACTGTGTGGAGGACTGTTGCAATGTAGGAAGTGTATGTAAACACCTGGCATATATTGAGTATTTAGTGATTGGTACCTATTTCTAGTACTATCAAGACCCTAGGTAGTACCACCATTCCCTCTGGTATTTTTTCCAGAATATCTGAGAGGACTTGCAGCTCAATATGAAATTGAATAGAAAATCAGTCAAAAATACTGTTCTGTAAACGTTTCCTCAATGATATATATTATATGATCAGATGGAACTCTTCCCTTCCTGAGTACAACTAACACAAAGCTCATAGAACTATATAGTCAGGACCAGCTCCATGCCAGATTCTGTTCCATCCAAACCATGATTTCCATTCATTCCATCGCCATGCAAAATCAACTGCTTGATTACAGTGGGTGGAATTACACTGGTACCCTAATTAAAACACCACTTTACTGCAGAGTCAGCTCTGGCTCTCCCAACCAAGCAGAGGAGGTCCTGGCCAGGGACTTCTAGGCCTCACTTCTTGAGACATTCAGTCTTCTCTCTCTACAGATCCTTGCAGTTGATGGTAACTGAGCACCAAGCTCTCCTGTTGTGTCCAACCACACAGCACCTCTCACACCTGCCCCAGGTGGAGATTCTGTTCTGCTTCATTCACCATCAAAGGGAACGACTCAGAGTAGTCTTCCATTCTCTCAGCCTTAAGACACACCATCTAAAGGTCTGGCCCTGGCCTCCATGCAGTGTCCTTCAAGTCCAGCCCCGCAGAAGGCACTGCAGTTTCCCCAGGCCCCAAATTGCAAACTGCCTTGGCTGGCATAGGACATTGGCACTCGGCTGCTCTACACTGGAGGTCCACCTGCTCACCCTCCTTCATATGTTCCTTAGGTCTCTGGGGACACCTCACCGTCTTCCTGACATGGTTGCTGTATTAACATTCAAAGATGGGATTCAGTCTGGCTAAGCCTATTATCTGATTATTCCCACTACTCATTCTCTCTCTTTTAGAAGAGCAGAATTGCACGACTGTTCCATGAATCAATGAGGCAGTGAGGAGAGGGCCTTTTTATTAGCATATAGCTTCTCCTCCATTCTCCAATACACACAAGCAAATCCAGGTGCACACCAACTTTCTTAAGGATACAGGGAAGATAGGTAATAAGGGAAGGCGAGCATTCACCTTTGATTTCTCTATCATTTATTCATTCTTTTTCATGACCAAGTTCTTTTCCACGTCCAGAAATTATCTCTTACACTCCCATGTGATCTTTGCTCAGGTCCAAAAAATAAAGAAAGAATGAGATGCTAATTAATGAAACAAAAAGCAAAACACCAAAATCCTAAACTGTGTTCACAGCAATAAATGAATGAGTATGGTCTTCATAACATCCCATTCAGAAGTAAATTAAACTTTCAATCAACAGGAACATTTGAAAAATTCCATAGGAAACAAAGTTCAATTTCCAAGTCGCACAAATACAGAAGCATCAAAATGTTAGACGGCAAGATCTCTTCCACCTTCCCTGGCCCCTCACTACTTAGAAAGGTGACTTCTCTCTTCCAACACAGATTGAAAAATGGGCCCTATCTCACATGGGGGTGTGGAAGCTTCGGGATGCGGCCCTGCCATGTTTCCTGGTCCTGGGCTGTCCCCTGGGCACTCTAGTGGCCCTGGCTACATTTGATACTTCAGCACACTCTGCCTCATCTTTCAAAGCCTTTTCATACAGGAAAGGGTAGGACCTAGGGTCACTCCCATGGACCTGGGCCCAGTACTCCAGGACTTTCATCTTGCTGGTTTCAGCACGTGCCCTTGGACCCCAAAGGAACTCATAGAAAGCAGGATCACTACCAGGTACCTGGCGATACTCCAAGTACTGTTCCTGCACCAAATCTTCAGTGATGAGCTTTCTAGGCTCCCCATAGATGAAGTGTTCCCTCCCAGCATGCACACCCATCATACTCAGTGCATTCCAGACAACCTCCTCAGTGGCATGGTCACCCTCCATGAAGATGATGCACAGAACCATTATCAGAAGGCCCGTTTTGGGCATGCTCTGATCATCGCCCACCAACCCAGCACAGGTGAGACCCAAAGCATTAACAATGGCATATGAGTGGCTAGAGGGGTCTACCTCCTTTACATGAATACCAAAGACCAGATGCATGTACTCAGAGGCTACACTGAAGATCACAGGGAAGTCATCCTGGTTATTTTTGATGACACTACTCAGCATTTCGGTCTTGGTGGTCAGCTCCTTCATTCGATACTTGAGAAGCAGGAACTGCACCAGATCAGCCATCTGCTGATCCAGTGGGTTTTCCAACAAGGACCTATGGTGTTCCTGCTCCTGATAGGGGAATGAAACTTCCTCTTCTTGGCTGCTGGAGATTTCATTGGACTGGATAAATGAAGTGGGAGCCATGGTGACAGAGAAAGAGGAGAAACTCAAAGGAACCTGTGGAAAAATCAGTGGCCCAGGAGCAGGCACCTCCCTCTGGGTAGCTGGTATCAGAGGAAGGGAAGTGGAGGAGATACAGGCAGAGGAGGCCCCCTCCTCCTCAGGCCTGAGAACCTGCACACCAATGAGGCTTGGTGCCTCCCTTTGGGCCTTAGGTTTTCCTTCTTGCTTGCGGAGCTGGCGCTTCTGACCATGAGATGACGTGGCTTTCCTTGGGAACAGTAGTCAAGACGGTGGGCAGGAGACTGGTCCTGGGGGAGAGAGGGATCCAGTGAACTTAGGACTACACCCTTCTTGGTGATTACAATGGCCCACTACCAGTCATTTGTTTGGGTAGTGATCTAGGGCTAAGGAGGCACATGTCCTTCTGGTGGGCCTGACTCCTTGAGTAACTGAGGGAGGAAGTGAAACAGTTTCTCAGGATGATGCCAGCCTGCAGAGCACAAGGCCCCGGGGCTGACTTATACCCTGTGGAACTAGGTACTGTGGGTTGCCCTCTATTCTGCACATCACCATGACTCCCAGCACTGCCTGGGCCTCATCTGCTCTGTGACCTGAGGACATTGCTTCAAACCAAGACATTCACCTGCTGGTTTCCAGAGCTCTTATAATAGTCATTTCAGACTGCAAAAGCATTACTGGGCCCCCAACCCTGACAGGAGGGATGAGATGGACTCTGTGAGGCCCATACTGATCTGAGGTAGATGGTCCCCTTGTGCTCACTCTAGGTTCTCATTTTATCCTAGGCAATACCTGGACTCAAGCTCCCTTTTGAACTAAAGCAAACATTCTGAACAAATGTCCAACTCTGTGAGAAAAAAAGTCAGTGAGTGTTCTCACATCTGGACACACCTGCCCAAAGGTGACTATAAGAGCTGACCAAATTTAGGGGTTCCATTTATCTTGGCATGGATGACCTACTTGGTGCTCACCTTAATGAAAGTCAAGGTCTGTGATGGTCCTCTGATGACTGAAGGCACCTTCATTAAACCATATCCTATCACTGTGAAACACTTAGAAATGAAGTGAGGGGAGGCCAGTGGTCCCAGATTTTTCAGTGGTTGAAAAACAGGGCAGGTGGGGATTGGAGTCTTGTGTATTCATGTGTAGAGGTTTCCTATGCCCTCACCTTGACTCCTGGCTATGCCTGAGATCCTCCCTCTGCTGAAGTGAGTCCATGACCCTCTTAACAAATCTTTCCCCTTTCTGACACCAATGACACAGATAAGAAAGATATTTCAGCCTAAGAGCCCTGCCTGGGCTTCAATGTCTGACAGCAGGCACAGAGAAGATTTCTGAGGGGCACCTCTGTATTTTTGGCTAGGTATCCCCTTGATTCTCCCTCAGGGTCCTCACCTTAACTCTGGGAAAACATAACACCCCTCTGTCTGATAACAAGATGTGGTTCCCTGTGCCAATGTGATGCCATCCTGTCATATAACTTCTTTCAACTCCCTAAGAGCCTCACAACTCTCAGGAGAAATGATCAAATGTCATATCCCATCACCATTGTGTGGGTTCTAAAAGGTTGATGGCCAGGCCTGGGCCCTATGTATTCTGGTATGAGGATGGGGATCTACTCATGCCCAGGCTGGCTCTTCTTCATGCCCATCTTTAGAACAATACTCCCATCTCCCTAAAGACTCCCCAATCTTGTGCCCATGCTAGAAGTGACCATGCCACTTAGGGTCTCCCATAGTTGACCAAAGTTGAGAGGCAGACTATGCGGATTCCATGTTTCAGAGCTGGGGATGCTTTCAGTCCTTGTAAAGGGTCCATACCTTGGGTCTGGCAGTTCCTAGGATTCCTCCCTCTGATAATCTCATGTGGCTCCCTCTGCTGACCTGTCATCACCTTTGGATCAAGGTCCTTACCCACATATTATCTCCCAGCCAAACCATAAGGCAGAAATGAGAGGGAGTGAGACCTGAGATATTCAGAGACCCTGTCTGCCCCCACCAGCCTAATTATAGCCAGGTTCTGTGAAGTCCCTTCTTTTGGGAGGTATGGCATTCAGTCCCTGTCACCAAAGTTCCTCACCTTGATTCCCGGCAGATGCTGGAATCCTCCCTCTGCTGACCAGCTGTGGCTCCTCTGCCGTCCTGATGAACTCTCTCACACCAAGGCCTCACCTCCCTGATTTGGAGGAGACAGAAGTGAGGACAGCACATTTGGACACGGCTGCATGGAGTTTCCCCAAGTTAACAGACCAGCAGGTTCCAGGGGCCTCCTTTGTCTGGAGTGTCCTCAAGGTACTCATATTCACTCCTGACAGGGTCTGGGCCCTTTCCCCTCTGCTGACCTGTAGGTGCATCTTGCAGGCCAAGGCCACCATCTCCCTGAAGGCCCAGAGAAGGAAGTGGGGGGTGGGTACAACCATTCCCAACAGCCCTGCATGGAGTTTTCCTGGGCTTCCAGTAAACATTCCCATGTCTCTAATCTGGGCTCTTATTTCGTCTTTCCAGAAGTCCCTGAGATTCCTCCCTCTGCTGACCCGGGAACACACACTTTAATCATGCTCACTCATCCCTGACACCCTGAAGGTGTGTCAGGCAGAAGGGAGGTGCACTGCCTCTGGCCACTCTGCCCAGGCCTCCCAGGGTTGATGTCAGGGTGGAGGTCCCCTTTGATCTGGAGTACAAGGCCCCCTCCTTCCTCCCTGAGTCCTCCCCTTGACTCCTGGCAGCAGCCCACTCCTCTCCTGAACTGAGTCCTCCTCCCTCAGATTCCAGAGTCAGAATGAAGGACAGGCTCAGTCTGAAAGCAGGGGCAGGACTAGGTGGTGCCCATTCTGTGTCCTAGGGCACTCAGTCCTCCCTCATTTCTAACCTTGACCACAAAGAGCCTCTCCTTCTACCATGTTCCTAAGCCCCCTAGATCCCCATCCTCTGCTGACCTAAGCATGCTCAGTGAGACCAAGACTCTGAATCCAAGGATTCCTTAAGGCTGACTGCGAGGGGATAGCACCTACCATCTGCACCCATATTCTGTAGGACTAAACACATAGGTAGATCAGTATAATTTTCTTGGAAGTACCCTTACTGAACTCAGGTGCACTCTATCCCTGAGCAACATCTCCATCCCTTTATATTGTATTTTTAATTTTTGAGACAGGGTCTAAGTTGTCCAGGCTGGCCTTGAACTTGCCATCCTCCAGTCTCACCCTCTCAAATAACTGGGATTCCAGGTGTGCACCCCCACCCCATCCAGACCTGTATAATTTGGGCATGCTTTAGTTTGGGTGGGACTTTTTCAGTTCATCCTGAGCATCTCACTTTTTCATTTTCTTTTTTTCTTGCATGCCTGGTAAGTTCTCTAACAATGTGCTACACCCATAATTCAAACCTTGACCCTAACACAGCCCAAGCCCTGTCTGCTCCACCAAACTTCAGCATGGCCATCAACCTCTGTCTTATCCTCCAAATCAGAACTCAGAGGATGTCACAATGGGCTGAGTACCCAGTTCCTCCGAGGTTGGAGAGCAGGGGCATTCAGTGATTCTTTGGGCTTTCTCTGTGGTCCCCAGTGCTCCTCACTTTGGATCCTGCCAGAGCCTGGACCTCTGTTCTCTATGTACCTGTGTCTGCCCCCTCAGACCAAGTCTGTGGTTTCAGCATCCTATAGGGCAGCTAGGGAGGATGGATGGCCACAGATGCAGCCTAGATTGTTTAGGAACCCTCTTTCTGTAGTGTGACTTCAGCTGACCCTCAGGTCTCACCTTGACCCCCAACAGACCCCAGACCCTCTCCACTCTGGTGATTTGTAATCGCACATTCTGTCATAGGAGATAACTCCTAGGGTCCCCTGCTGCCAAAGAGATCACCCTGGAATTATACCTATTTCCCATGGGGAGCAAGGCTGGCTACAGAGACAGCCTGGGTGGTTATGGGACAAACCTTCAGGGGTGAAGACACCTCACTACACCCTCAGCTCTCATCTTGACCTCTTATAAATACCAAACCCTATCTGCTCCTGGTCACCTTCTAGCAATGACTAACTTTTAGGGTCCCCCTTAGGGGTTCATGGAATTCTTCATTCTGGAGCACAAAACTGCCCACAGGGGAAGCCTAGATGGTTTGGGACCATCTATCTACTGTGTGGATTCCTCAGTCCACCCTAGCTCTTTGACCCTCAAAAGACCCTAGACCCTGCTTGCCCTAGTGTCCTGGATTGAGTGACTCAAGGATTAGGTTTCTCAGGGTCCCCTTCAGTAGAAGGGGTCACCTTGGAATTCTGTCCTCTCACTTCTAACCCCACCCCCCCTCACAGAGGTAGCCAGGTAATATTGGTGATAGTCTGCCTATGGTGTGGCTTTCTCAGTCCATGGGATGCTGGGAGTTAAAGCATACTACCATCTGCACCAATATGCAGCTATCACGTGATTCTGATCATTCCTAGACTGTATCTGCTCCCATTAAGTCTCAGACCAAGGCTATAACACCCAGGATCCCCTGTGTAGAAGGGATCACCATGGAATTCTATCCCCTTTGGCACAGGGCTGGACACAGGCAACCTAGGTGATCTGTGGACCCCCACTCCTGGTTGGGGACTCCTCATTCCACCTTCAGCTCTATCATTGACCCTTGACAGAGCCGAGGACCAGCCCCTCCCCGTATGCCTCAGCACTTGCTTTAACTCCTAGAGTCCTCTGTGGTGGAAAGGTTTGACCCAGAATTTTTACCACCCCCGGGGGAGGCAGAGCTAGCCACAGAGATTTCCAGGAAGACTAATGACAGTGGTCTATAGTGAGGCTTCTTCAGTTCACCTCAGCTCTCACTTAAACCTAGGATCCCTGATATTCCCCACTCTCATTACCTGTATCCCATGGCTCTAGTATCAGCTGTATCCCCCAGCATTACCTTGGGCAGCAGGTCACCCTGGAATTTTGCCCCTCACCTGGGAAGCAAGGCTGGAACCATAGGCAACTTAGTTGATGGTGTATGCTCCCCTCAGGGTGGGTCCTCCTCAGTCTACCCTCAGCTCTCACCATAACACCCAGAGTGCCCTTGCCCTCACTTAGCCAAAGGCTTTACCTCCCAGCATCCCATGCAACAGAAAGGGTTTCCTGGAATTTGGTCTACCTGAAATCAAGAAGGTCAGGCCAAAGTACTAGGGTGGGTTAGGACCCTCTCCTGGCTAGGTCTTCCTCACTCCATCCCACCTCTCAACTTGACACCCACAGTGGACAGGCCTTGTCCACTAACTCAGCCAAAGGTGTCATCTCCCAGCATCCCAAGAGTGAAAGGACTCCTTGGAATTCTGTTCCCCACCCCATGAAGAGCTGGCCAAGGTACTGGTTGGTTTAGGACCCGTGCCAAAAGTTGAGACTTTCTCAGTCCATGCCAACTCCTACCTTGACACACACAGTGCCCCAGCTCTCTAGGCCCGAAACAGTAAGGGCTTAAACTCCCAGCATCCCCTGCGACAGAGGGGGTTCCCTGGAATTTGGACCCCCAGAAACCGAGGTCTGGGGAAGGTACTACGGTGGTTTAGGAACCTCCTCCCAAGCTGATACTCCTCAGTCCATCCCACCTTTCACCTTAACACCCACAGTGCCCGGGGCCCTGTCCACTCACCCAGCCAATGGCAATAAATCCCAGGGTCCCCTGTGGTATAAGACACTAACAGGAATTCTGGCCACCCACCACGTGAGGGAAGGGCCAAGGGAATGGGGTGGTTTAGTACTCTTCACCCAGAGTGCAACATTCTTAGTCCACCCAAGCTCTGAAGGTGACACCCACAGTGCCCAGGGCTAAGATGGCTAACTCACATAATGGCTTTAACTCCCAGCATCCCTTCCACAGAATGGATTCCCTGGAATTCTGTCCCCCAACCTGTGAAGGACTGGTCAAAGTACTGAGGTGGTTTAGAAAACATCCCACAGGGTGGGACCTCCTCATTCCACCTCCTTTCACCTTGACACCTACAATGCCCGGGACCCTGTCCACAAGCTCAGCCAAGAGCTTTAAATCCCAGGGTCCCCTGTGGGAGAAGGGGTTCCCTGGAATTCTGTCTCCCACCCTGCGAAGGGCTGGCCAAGGTAGTTATGTTATTTAGGACCCTCCCGATGGGATGGACCCTTCTCAGTCCACCCCACCTCTCACCTTGACACCCACAGTGCTGGGGCCCTGTCTACCCACCAAGCCAATGGCTTTTAACTCCCAAAATAACCTGTCAAGAAGGGGTACCCTGGAATTCTGACCCCCACCCTGCCAAGGGCTGGTCAAGGTACTGGGGTGGCTTAGGACCTTCCCCACGGGGTGGAACCTCCTCAGTCCACCCCACCTCTCACCTTGACACCCAGAGTTTCCCGTCCTTTCCGCTCACTCAGCCAATGGCTTTAACTCCCAGCATCCCCTGCAACAGAAGGGGTTCCCTGGAATTCAGTCCCTCAGAACCCAAGAAGTTCTGGCCAAGGTACTGGGGTAGTTTAGGACATGCCCCTGGTTGGACCTCCTCAATCCATCCCAGGGCCCTGTCCGCTCCCCCAGCCAATGGCAAAAAATCCCAGCCTCCCTTGAGCTACAAGGCATGCACAGAAATTCTTTTCGCCAGTCCGTGAAAGACTGAAAGACAGGCCAAGGTACTGGAGTGGTTTAGGAACCACTGCCAGGGTGGGACCTCCTCAGGCCACCCCAGCTCCCACCTTGACTCACACCACCTGCTCTGTCACCCCAGGTCACAGCTTGTCACTCACATTGCCCTGCTCTGTCAACTCACTTAGCCAAGGACTTTAACTCCCAGCATCCCCCACATCTGGAAGGGGTACCCTGGTATAAGGGATCAAGATGGACAGGGCACCCTGGAATTCTGTCCCCCACACTGGGAAGGGCTGGCCAAGATAGTGGGGTGGTTTCGGACTCTCCCCACAGGGTAGGACCTCCTCAGTCTACCCCATCTCTCACGTTGACACCAATGGCACCCCGTCAACTCACTTAGACAATGGCTTTACCTCTCAGCTTCTCTGCAACAAAATGGATTCCCTGGTATTTGGGCCCCCCGAAACTCAGAAGGACTGTCCAAGGTACTGGGGTGGTCTAGGACCCCTGAGTGGGACCTCCTCGGTGCACCCCACCTCTAACCTTGACACCCACAGTGCCCTGGCCCTGTCAACTAAGCCAATAGCTTTAACTCCCAGGGTCCACTGCGACAGAAGTGAAATTCTGTACCACAACAAGTGAAGGGCTGGCCAAGGTAGATTTAGGACCCTCCCCACAGAGTGGGACCTCCTTAGTCCATCCCACCTCCCACATGGACACCCACAGTACCCGGGCCCTGTCAACCCACCCAGCCAATGGCTTTAAGTCCAGGCGTCACCTGCGACAGAAGGGGCTCTCTGGGATTCTGTCCCCCCACCCCGTGAATGGCTGGCTAGGGGAC